TTCCACTTTGTTATAATACCACTAACAGTTGACAGTGGAATATTTAGTAGTGAGGAAATTTCAGAAATGGACTCAGCAACCTATCACGGTACCACGCTTGAATTCACTAAGATCCTGAGAGCGAACTATTCTTTCACAAATGTTTGTAGAAGCAGTCCACATGCCTAGGTGCTTAATTATTTTATACACCTGTGGCCGAGGAAGTGATTGGAACACCTGAATTCAATGATTCGGAGGGGTGTCCTAAAACATTTGGCAATATGGTTTATGTTAAGTCTTCATCAGTCTCTGAAACCTCTTTATCACACCTGAACCTTATTCACAATAATTCTGCATTTTTGCATTTTTAGTGTTTGTTTAACCCTGAATGTCTTTTCTGCACTTGAGCAGCTTCTCTGCATTTATTTACTGCTGCTCTGTTTGGGGTAATGGATCAAATAAAAAAACATTGAATGTGTCCTTAAATCAATATAATTTGTTATTTCCATATCTAATTTCAACATGTGGCTGTTTTTCTGTGGTCTACAAGTAGGTTGTTCTGTGTTGTAGAAAGTCCAGATGTCTTGTTGCATGTAAAACCTCAAACCAACCTGAGTGTGATTTATCTTTAGTTCTGACCTCACTGCTGAGCTGCACAACAAACCAAGGTGAGAAAACTTCTTCCGTCACAGCTGAAAAGTTATTCACTCCCTGATAGAACAGTTAGTGTTTAGGACAGTGTTTGTGGAGGGAAACAGCCACTTTACAAATACAATAAAACACTGAATGCAGTTTTGATGCCACAGTGTTGCAGACTGGAGCCAAAGCTAAAACTGCAGCGGCTAGGTGGAAAAATAATAATAATATAAGTAAAACACAAGAAGCTGGATCTTTAAATTAGATTAGTTACATTTGAAAACATTTCTCTCTCAGCTCATGTCTGAGTTTGATTCAGATTTCTTCTCTGAAACACAGAGATCAGTTTAGCAGTGAAGACGTGACAGTGAGAAAGTGGGAATATTATGAATGTGGAGAAAATCATCTCTCTAACCACATCTTTCTGTCTCTTCCTCCAGCAGCTCTCAGCTGTTTGAAGGAGAGTCTGTCTCTCTGAGCTGTGAGGAGGACGACAGCTCTGCTGGATGGACGCTGAGGAGGAACACAACCAGAAGAACCAGGACTCAGTGTGATGAGTAGGGAAGTTAAGCTGGTTCTTCTTGTGACATCTGTCCCAGTGGACAGTGGAGTTTACTGGTGTGAGTCCAGAGAGTAACACCATCAACATCACTGTCACTGTAAGATCAGACTGTTGTAATGGGTCTAATGAAGAGTTACCAGCTCAAAAACAAACAGAGGGTCTCTGAACACTGAATCAGTGTTATTTGTTTCACTTTGGCCTTTTGCTAAAATCAAAGGCAAAAACTTTACCTCCAAAGAAGACGTATGGTTATACTTCAGGAAGCTAACCAACACTGGGTGGAGAACTGAGAGCAACCGATGGCTGAGTTTTGAGGGGCCTTAAAATCCTGTATCTGTACACTACCGTTCAAAAGTTTGGGGTAAAAGACAAACACAGTTTTTGTCCATTACATCAAAATAATAAAAATAATGAAATTGAATATTTCTGATCAATCTGATGTTATTTTAATGGACAAAAACTGTGATTTTCTTTTGAAAACAAGGACTTTTCTTAGTGACCCACCATATGTGAACAATTCTCTAAACTGCATGTATATTTATTTAAGTCATATGAATAGAAAGCTACCCAAATATTCAATAATGTGTTTACTGAGTCACAGGACAGGTCAGAGTGACTGTAGGCTCAGAAAAGGAAGAGAACTAAAACATTGCAGTGTTTGATGTCAGGAAAGCAGACTTGTGAAAGCAGGGCTTGTGGCTTTTGCTCATTTCTGGGTGAGTGGTGTGTCCCTGTCCCCTCTCCTCGCCTGGGCCCTCTTCGGCAGGGGTGGGGCTCCTGCTGCTTCCCCCTGCCAGCTCTCTCAAAGTGGGGGCATTCAGGAGTCTCTGGGGCGCATGTCCGGTGTAGGTTTTGGTGCTCCTCCTTGGGGGTGCTTGACTGGGGGGGCTGGGCCCCCGTAAGTTCAGGGATGAGATCGGCCTCGGGGGCTGCTGGCACTGCCTGCACTCTGGGGAGGGATGCCTCTGGCTGGGCTGGGGGACCGTTGGCCTGGTTCTCCTGCGTTATTGCTCCATGGCAGCAGGAAGCTTCCCGGCACGGCTTTCTGCTGTTCTTCCTTGGGGCGGGGTAGCTTCCCTCTGGACATGCGGTCTGGGGTCCTTTGTGCTTTGGGGGGTTGCGGGGTGCCCTGGCTTCTGGGGGTGGGGGTCTCTGCGCGGGTTGATCCGATTCCGGTTTGGAGGGCTGCGGTGGGATTGTGGGGCGATTGTCGATGCATCTTGATGCATTGTGCTTTTTCCCTGGGCAGGGTCTCTGGATGGCTGCTGGGCGTTTAGTTTATGCATTGGAGTCCGGGGGAGGCATCCCCTCGTTGGCTTGGAGGGACCAGTTTGCGTCCCTGTTTTGCTTCATTGGCCTCGGATCCATGCTTCCCCATTTCTCTGTCGGCCAGTTGTTGGACCCCTCTGGATACTGACGTATATAGTTAGTTTTTGGGATGTGCAGTGTGGGTGCGGGGCAGGGCTGTGCTCCGGTTTGTTCTGGGTTTGTGCCTGGAGTTCTCGGCCCTTGATGGATGGGTGGGTTGGTGCTGGCATGCAGCTGAGCTAGTTGATTTTACCTCGTTGCTGGTTTGGCTGGTATTGCATGGCGGCCGGGGGGCGCGCTGGGCATGGGGGATGTTGGAGGGCGCCAGCGGCATTAGTTTTTTTCCGGCGGTTGGGGGGACGGCGGACTTTTATTGGCGGGTGCACGGTGACCTGTCCGGCGCGTTTGCTCCCGGGCTGGGACTTGCTGCTGGTGTTTCTCTCCGCTGGCTTTCGCTGTAGTGTTGTTCCGCTTGCTCTCTCTTGTTTGCGCGACCTCGCACGCGGGATTCGCGGGGGGCTGCTGGGCATTGGGTGTCGCCGTGCTCGCGCAGTGTGCGCGTTGGGCTCGTCACTTGTGCATTGGTGTTGATGATTGCGTGGCATTTGGGCATTTTGGTCGTTCACTGCGCGGAGGTCGGGTGCTGGGTGAGGGGGGAGCACTGGTCTATGTTGTGTGCGCACCGCGGTCGGTCCGGGCGCTGCTCTTCCGTGGGTTACGCTTCTTGTGTTCTGTACGTTTTCAACTGGCATTTGGATCGGGGTCTTCCGCGTTTGCATCGCGGTGCATACGATTTATTTTTTTCTTTTTCTTTCTCCCACCCCTATTGGCTACTGGGTTTCTTGCCTGCCTGTTGCTGGGGTAGGTGTGGCACAGTCGTGGCGTCCCACTCTCACTAACAACTACATTCTTTAACAGGCTTATGCGCACACACATGTACACACACATAGACACACACAGTCTCACACATAGACACAAACAAATGTAGGTTGTCCCTGGTAGAATTATTTCTGATGCTTTTCTTTCAGTTACTTATTTAAATTAATTATTATTCCAGCTCTCTGGCTGTGCTGTGTTGCTTATTTAGTGTGTGTGACTGTTTCTTGTTTTCATTGTTCTCTTAGTTGTCTTACTATGTCAGCTGTTTATTGCTGCTGTTTGGCTGGTTGTCTTTTACTCTTCTTCTTATTTTTATTGTTTGTTTTTGTTTGTTGTTGTTTTTCTTCTCCCCAAGCCCCCCTCTCTGTTCTATTGCAGGTTTCGTTGCTTTCTGCAATTGGTGTTTCCCACAGCTTTTCCCTGTTGTCCCCACCTTCCATCCCCCTTCTCTTACAGGTGTTGTCATTTCTCTGTGCTGTCTGTTTGTGCCCCCCCATCCCCGTATCTGCCCCCCTGTCCGGCCCGGTGACAAATCAATACATAATTAAATATATAATAAAACAGACAAAGGAGTATATTAATACTCTCTTGTTAAAGTAAAATCTGTCTGGCACAATATGGTATCCAGCTCATCATACTCTATACCAGGCTGCTGGGCAGGACAGGTTTAAAAAAAAAAGGAAAGCAGACAGTGAAAGTTTCAGCAGGTTCAGCAGGTGACAGTTGCAGCTCCTCCTGTTTCACCCCGACCTCCTCATGTGCTAAGGTTTTGGTATGGCTGGTTTCACTAAGTTTAAATGTTCATGTGATGTATATGTTTATTAATTCTGCATCGTCTTTACCAACTTCACAAAACACATGCAGCATGTACAAAATCCTGCAAAGTGAGAAAGCGCCACAGAATACGACGGATACAACGTGTGTTGTCAAATTCATCAAGATGTTAGTTTTGCTCCTTTTGTGTCTCTTTAAGTGGAGCTTGAAAAACAATCCAGCTTTACTTTAGCAAAGGCAAAGACAACACCACCAACATTACAACCTGTTAAAGTGGACACCAGCTCCATGATCCATTCAGTGACTGGAGGTCACAGCACTAGAAAGGAGAGACTGATTTACAATCCTAGTTTAAGTCAGATTAATCCTAAAACATTTATTGTAAAATGGATGGTAGTCAGTGCTGTAACCAAACAACCATTAAAGATTGGGTACAATGTACAATTACATAAATACTACAGTAATACTAATAAAAAGAAATATACAGTTATCTTATGTTCACCATATAAATATAATACCCTTAATTAGCCTCACACTCAGTAACAATAACATTTAAATAAAATGTACAACAGAGGCTGGCTTACCAGATCCAGAAGTCCACAAATGCACCACAGTCCAGAGTTAGTGTTGATGAAGCTGTGTGTAAATGATGAAATGCTGTAGTTTGTCTCTGTGTTGAGATGGACCAGTGATCCTGCAGAGTCCTGTCCTCCCTGTGATGGAGGGACATGAAGTCACTCTGCACTGTAAAACAAAGACCCCTCCCTCCAACCTCCCAGCTGGTTTCTATAAAGATGGCTCCCTCATCAGGACTGAGCCTACAGGTCACATGACCATCCACCATGTTAACAAGTCTGATGAAGGCCTCTACAAGTGTAACATCAGCGGTCGTGGAGAGTCTCCATCCAGCTGGATCTCTGTCACAGGTGAGGAGGTTAACTTTGATTTCAGGATTAATTTCATCCAGAGATTCAACTGACGAGGTGGATTTGCTCTACAGATAAACCTACAACCACAGCTCTGCCACCTGGTGGTCTTCTGTCTGTACTGCATCTCCACTGTCCTCATGGTGTCTTTATATCGACACAGGGCCACAGGTAACACTGAATTATTCACTGACCTTACAATCAATCAATCAATCAGTGGTGTACTGTAGATTATTGACAGTTGTCTCTAACAGAAGTTGATAAATGATCTACATTTTCTTTCTAACCTGCTCTGACTGCAGGAAATGACCTGCCCATCTCCATGGTGATGACCCCGCCTGCCCAGTCTGAGGAGGAATTGGATAATGACTGTGATGACGTCATCACTGCTGTCACCACAGAGCATCACTTCTGAGCTGATCCAGTGTGTTCAGGTTCTTAATGAAGCTGAAATGTTTGATTCATCTTCAAATAAACCTCAGATTTCCTTCATAGATCACAAACAGCAGAGCAAAAGTTGAGAGATCTGCCTGTTTTATTTTCTATTTAACTTTTTTAAAACTTTTTTATTTATTTCCCGGTTGCTTTTGCTCAAAACTACAGTTATGTCAATCCAAAGAGGGCTGACAGACAAAAGGCCGACTCCTCATGTTGGGATATTTCTCCTGTGACAACAGCAGAATTCAGCCTTTGTGTCTCTAGTTGTCCTGGATCTCATCTGAATGTCACTCTGAAGGCTCACAGTGAAAGAGAAAAAGAGCAGGAAGTGACAACATCTTAAAACTGTATGTTAAAGGGTTAACGTCAGAGTTTATTGGCGTGAGCGGCAGAGTTGGACATGGTAAAAGTTATGTAAGAAGAGTTTCAGTCATCCAGGTGACAGGATTTCAAGATGTACTACCTCAAAGTAACCTGCTTCTCTGTGTGTTTGTTCTGGGTTGCCTTCAAGCTCACATTAACAGAAAAGTCTGATGTAGTGTGGAAGGAGCAATCCTGAATGGCTGAATCTCAACATTCACGAGTTTCAACGTGAGTCCGTGAGCGTTTAGGGTTACGAGATAAACAAGTTAATTGATCATTTAAACTGACCTCTTGTCCACTCTGTAAGGCTCCCTCAGTACCTCGGCCATGAAGAAAGATGGAAATAAAAAGATCATAACCCACAATTGTTTTGATGTAGCCATGTTAACATGATCACCAGGTAACGGCAGCTGAGTATGTGAGGGTTCATGGTGTAGGCTTTAGGGTGGAGAATGGGACCATGACGCTGTCCACTGTCACTTAGAGACAGAGGTGACTACTCCAGACTTCAGTTACAAAGTACACTCATTCAATAAATAGATACTAGGAAGTTTATCTCTTGTTGTTCATGTTTCTGGTACAAAACCACTTCATCAACGTTAAACTCAGTAGGAAAACGTATTTCTGTTTGTTTGTTTCTAAGGCTTCCTTCACATCACAAACTTTGCTAAATGCTAAATTTATCTCTGTGGAGATGCTGTGTTATTGCAACAGGGGAAGAATGGAGTAAGAAATAGTTCCCCATCATCATCCACCTACAGAGGTGCATCTGCAACTGTTTCTGACCTGCACACTTACACAACCTAGAGGCAGAGCATGTAATAGCTGCAACACCTCAGTGAAGCACGTTTAAGGAGTGGGAGTAAGTTTGAGCTGTTTTGTACGGAGTAGGGGAGACCGGGTATGGTTGTAACACTTTTTGCTACAGTAACTATAACTCACTGAATTTTGTAGCTAGAGTCCTCAAACTCTTAACAAAAGAACATCTCTGTGCATCCTTAGGTCTAACAAAAAAGAGGAGTGTGTCAATGTGTGTATATTCTTAATCAGAGTCACAGTCAGTGCTTGAAGTGGGACGGTACTCACCGGTACGTATACCAGCACCTCTATATTTCACATTTGGGCATACTCGGACTTTTTCTTGTGCACTGGCACTTCTCACAAGCTGCCTGTACGCTTTTCTACCCACTCCACCGGTGGAGACAGAGTATGGAACAGGTCAAGTGCCGATACATACACCAACATGTGAACAACATGTGAATGGGGAGCACTGGCTGACAAAGTAACGCTTTGTAACCCTGGAGTTCAGGCTTGGTGGGCCCAGACTGCAAAGGGCACTCTATAAAATATTAAAATCAAGAAAGTCACTAGTTTTAGTGGATATTTGGAACACTTCTTAAAGAAGTGTTACAACCCACCCCACCCCTTTCAGCCAATGTTTAGCTAGTTGTATTAACATAGTGGTTTGAAATTAGAAAGGAAAAAATGCATCACATGTAGCCTGAGAAAATATATTTGAATCTAATATAAGTCAAAAAATTATATCTGCAACGGTATAGATACTAAACAAAATATAGTCTTGGTCAAAAAATTTACTTTCTTACCTCATTATCTGTTTTTTCTCTATATATTCTGAATGTACCTCTTTACAGCCTTGATAACCAACGTGCCTGATTGGGGAGGAAGTAGGTAAATACTGAAATGATCACTTATCTTATCTTATCTATAATTGGTGGAAGTTTCTGTTACAACCATACCAACGAGAAAGTGGTGGGGGAAGAGACTAAAACTTTGTCTTCTCAAGGACATAGAGAGACCATAGATGCATATGTGATTAACTTGAACAACAAAGCCAGAGAATGTAAGTTCTGACTTCTGCATGACTCATTAAGACGTGTCAATACGTGTTTGTCGCATAAAAGCTGATCAGATGAGGGGCAGGATATTAGAAAAGGCAATTGATGAATGCCATGCCAGTGAGATCACGTCAAGCCAGGTAAAAATGCTCAATGAAGAAGAAGTGCACAAAACTACAACTGTGAATACCACCGAGAGATAGAGGTGACAAAAGTAGGCCACGGCCAGCTCCACAGGATGATCAAACTACAACAGATGTGGTTATAAACATGGAGACATGGAGATAATGAGGGTAACAATGACGTGTTCATGGGCACGGTGCACTGTAAAAAAAAATCTGTAATTTTAAAGTTTTATTCCTTTTTATTTCACAGTTTTTTTCTTGTATTTTTGAAATACATGAAAATATAAAAAAATTGCAAAAATAAACTGTGAATTTACATGTCTAATATAAAATAACCTGTAGCTTTGATTAACCATAACATTTCTGTTATTTTAAAGAAAACATTGGGTTTTTTAACGTAAACAAACTGTTACAATACATTCAGGAATTTCCTGTATTTTCACAAATATTATTTTCATTATTTGAAAGAAAAAACTGTTAAAAATAAGTTTAAAACTGTAAAAACATTTCTTAAACTTGGTATAATTAGTAAGAGTTAACCGTAGCAAAAAACATTTGTTCTGTAACTTGACATAGATTTTCTTGTTAATTGATTATCTTTAATTATGGATATTTGGAAAATAAAAACATTGAATAAATGTTATTTTAATCAGTATATAGTGTCTGCAAGTATTGTTAAACTGTCAAAACACAGTTTTGGTCATTGAAAACCAACACAGTCTCACTCCCTACTCGTCAAATGTCTGACGCATGGTCAAGGCCCTTTGTCGTCGCTTTTTAAAGACTTGGGTAGCCCTTTTGCATCAATTATTGACGTTTAGGGATCCACAGTCAAGTTAGCAACGCTTAGCAACAATAAATATGCAATATCCGGTTACACTTTAAAGATAAAACGTAACGTTTCGATACATTGCCATGTTGAAACGCGCATAATTAAAGTCGTGAAACGTTGCAGTTTCGTTAGGTTTAGGCACAGAAAGTACTTGGTTAAGGTTAGGAAAAGATCATGGTTTGGGTTAAAATAGCTATGTAATGTCAATTAAGACTTAAGTTAACTAACGTTAATGTCAATTTACCTCACTCGCCTAAATAAAAACATTTAATGTTTTGTTTCGCACGGGACACAAACCCTGTTCTCCTGCTTCAAGGTCCGGGTTCTGGCCCTCTATCCACCCCAATCACCTCCTTACTTCGTCTTTTCTCTTAAATATCATACTTGCCTTTACCATCAAAAACTGACACAACAGGGCTTCCCTCAATACGTCGAACTATGACGTCAAAGGGATCCCTAGTGCATCACAAACTGACGATTATGGCTCTTGAACAAGCGTCCATATGTGACGACTTGGGAGTGAGACCGGGTTGTGAAAACAGCCATAATTACATAATAATAAAAAAAGCCATAATAAGTGGTAAAATTACAGAAAGGTAATATTTAATTTATTGTTAAATGACAGGCATTCACACCTTTTAATGTGGTTAAAAAAGAAAACTTCCTAAAATTACGGGTTTGTGATGAAAAATAAATTTTAATACCATTTTACAGATACTTGATTGAAGAGTCTTAGCTAGTTAGTTTAAATCCAGTTTTTTAATATAATTAAAAATTACCACATGTTCACATTATAACATTATTTTACATAAATCCATTTATCCTATAATAAAGAACAGAAACCCATTTTGAGTAATTTTGTACTAGGGTTATTTATGAAAGATTCAGACTTTCTTAAATTTACTTAATTTGAGCAAATTCAGACATTTATTCATTTAGGTGATGCTTTTATCTAAAGCGACTTAGAATTGAGGTCACAGTGGGGGATTGAACCCGGGTCTCTCACACCAAAGGCATGTGTCTTATCCATTGCACTATCACCACCCCACAGACTTCTTAAAGTACCACCACAATACAAATTCCCACATCTGATACTATTTATAGCCCATTTATTCAGTTCCATGCTCACAAAAAATAAGCCACACAAGTCAACCATTTCAGTGTAAAGAATTGTTCTCCTGAAACAAAAGTAGTTTAGTTTTTATATACCTTATTGACGACATTTTCAGATCTATTCATTAGAAACCTAATTGGGTCAACATAAAGAATATTTTGGATACTGTTAGACACAGCTCCAAGATTACAGTGCAATCTGAATGTAAAGTAATTGGAAAGTATTTCTTAAAATGCTGGCATTTTGCTTTCATAGGAGGGGGAAATGGTGGTTTTAATGCACAATCCAAAGACTTCTTCCCTGGTTTCAATGTGATATTTTATGACTTTCTAAAGCCAGTTTTTGTATCTGGTAAATGTTGTTCTTGCTGTATGTGTTTCTCTGTGCTTTGCATCCTTGTTCCTTTTCTGTCCTCTAGTTCTGCCCTAGGAGTGCTGCAGCTGATTGCTGAATTAGGTCCACCTGGCCTTGCAAGGCAGTGCACAACTGTGTGCACGGGAGTTGGGGAAGTCCAAAAGAAGACAAGTGCGAATGTGAAGTTTTTCTTGGCAGTCCAAATAAATCATTGAATGGTATGCAAGCCAAAAGTACATTTTCAGATTTGACTGACTTTGCACAACAACAACAACTCTGGATGACCTAAAGAAACCACTTGGGTTCTTAGCTCAATTGGCAAATATAAACAATGGCAAACAAAATCAACAGTATATCTATCCAAGGTCTGCAAGACATTAAGTAAGTTTCCCTTAATAATTGGTATGGTGACCAAATTCTGTAGATGTGTTAGTCCATAGCCCTCTCCACAGAAAGTCTGGTGGCTTCATGGCTGCAAAAATGACAGAGCAGATAACCACTCCCCCTCCACCACCAGCTCTTCCCATTAAGTGTGAGTAATAAGCAAAAGGCAGATGATCTACTCTAGCTTGATGTTCCTTACATCCAAAAACATTGACAGCGTTTGATTTACAATATAACTGCATTGATAAATAGGACTGTGTGATCTGACAGTTTACACTATATTACCAAAAGTATTGGGACACCCCGTCCGAATCATTGAATTCAGATGTTCCAATCACTTCCATGGCTACAGGTGTATAAAATCAAGCACCTAGGCATGTGGACTTCTTCTACAAACATTTGTGAAAGAGTGGGTCGCTATCAGCTCAGAGAATTCAAGCTTGGTACCTGTGCAATTAGTTCATTTGTGAAATTTCCTTACTACTAAATAGTCCAAGGTCAACTGTTAGTGGAATTATAACTAAGTGGAAGCGATTTGGAACAACAGAAACTCAGCCTTGAATGGGTAGGCCACATAATATCACCAAGTGCAATGCAAAGCGTCGGATACATGGTGAAAAGCACGCCGCCACTGAACACTAGTGCAGTGGAGATGTGTTCTCTGGAGTGACTAATCAGGCTTCTCTGTCTGGCAATCTGATGGATAAGTCTGGGTTTGGCGGTTGCCAAGAGAACGGTACTGGCCTGACTGCATTGCGCCAAAGTTTGGTGTGGGGGTGTTTTTCAGGGGTTTGACTTGGCCCTTTAGTTCCAGTGAAAGCAACTGTTAATGCTTCAGCGTACCAAAACATTTTGGACAATTTCATGCTCCCAGCTTTGTGGAAACAGTT